CGCGTGTAAGCCGTCGTCCCCCCACGCCGTCGTCGTCTTCATACACCTTCGGCCCTGCATGACCTCTGGTGAAGACTCCAGAGAATCGATGGATCTGTTCGAGGTGAAGAAACCGTCTGTTCGAGGTGAAGTTCACGAACGAGTTCGATGTGAAGCTCACAAGCTTTTGGTTCTGCTGCCGGCGACGATGTGGTGCTAGGCGGTGTGGCGGCGAGGCGAAATCAAGGAGGAAAATGGCAATTCTAGATATGGCGAGTTGACTCACTGAGTTGACTCACCCGAGTTGACTCTGTGAGTTGACTCGAATGAGTTGACTCTGTGAGTTGACTCGAATGAGTTGACTCAGTGAGTTGACTCAAACGAGTTGACTCGCACGAGTTTTTTTTTACTCGGCGACAAAGCGATTCGATGATTCGGCGACTCAGTGACTTGACGACTCGGCAACTATGCAATTCGATGATTCGGCAACTCAGCGATCCGATGATTCGGTGACTCAGTGACTTGACGACTCGACAACTATGCAATTTGATGATTCGGTGACTCTGCGACTCGATAATTCGGTGACTCGACGACTTGGTAATAAGGCCGATTTTCTTCTAGTAAAGCTGACTCGGATCGTTTCTCTTCGGTGTAGCAGAGAGGCGAATTGAAAAGAATGGTCTCCGATTCTATGGATTCGTAGCTTGACTGTTCGCGCGACAAATGCAGCATGGAAACTACTTCAAACTTAGACGATTCCGGAGAAATGGTCGATGATCCTTTGCTTCTCTTAAAGAGAATAGTTATTTCTCCAGAGACTGACACTGGTAGTTCGACAAAATCGGCCTCCTCCAATATTCTAGTTGTGGTCGAAGACGTTAGCGATGATTGGTCAAGATGAAGCTTGATCGACGCGACGACGCGAGATTGATTTGTGGATCCGACGACTCAACGAGGTGATGATGCGATGAGGTGATTATGTCGCGGCGAGGTGACGTTGATGAGGTGGAGTTTGATCGATGCGACGATGAGCGAAGTTAGTGAAGGTGACGTGACGGCGGATGAAGCTTGATCGACGCGATGGTGAGGTGAAGCTTGATCGATGCGACAGCAAGACGAAGCTTGATCGATGCGACGACGAGGTAAAGCCTAATCAACGCGATGGCGAGTCGAAGTCTGATCGATGCGACAACGAGACATGGTTGTGACGAGGTCAATTTGAGATAAGAGACAAGTCAACGAGGTTATCTTGGCGAGGAAAGACAATCAAGGCGGACTTATTGATTTGACGTCGAGGTAGACTTGTGTTGACGACGCCGAGGTGGACTCACGTTGATGACGAGGTGGTCGTGTCTACTTGAAGCTAAAGCGGACTTGTATTTGACTTGACACTGAGGTGGAATCGTGTTGACGTCGACAAGGTGACCTCGTGTTGACGACGAGTTCAAAGATGACAAATTCATCTTTTCGTCCAGCGAGCTTGAGCGAAATGGATTTGATCGTGGCAAAACTGGAGCGAAGTCATCAAAGTGAAAAGGTTGTTCCTGACTAGGTGAAGCTTTAGAGATGGTGAAACGAAAAAAATGGTTTCTAACTCTTCGAATTCTTGGTTACGCTGTTAATACGACGTGGATGCTTTTGAAAACATTTCTGACTTGGATAATGCCGAAGACGATGTCCGTCCGATGTTGTGACCAACGATTAGTTTGCTGGGTTTCAGAGATTTTTGTATCGAACGTTCTTTTGTTGTAAGTTAAGATGTTTGATCTCTTAAGTTATTGAAATGAGCGTTAGCGTATTGATCAACGTACTCCAAGTGTGCTCTTGTTATATCGTTTCGTGACTGGTGATTCGTCCGTTGATTTTGAACAATGATTGTTTTGGTTTATGAGCAGTTCGTCCCTGACCATTCTGCGTCAAAGACGAACATGTTATATTGTTGCGACCAGCGATGTGATAGCTGGGTTTGCTGATTAACTTCTTGGTTTACGGGAGTCGGATCTACACAGTTAAATTTGTCAAGGGTGTTTGGAGATTAGAGATTTCTATGCCGCGAACACACTTCGAACAAAGACTGAGAATAAGAATTCTTTATTGTTGTTTCTGTTAAGCCGTTATTATAAGAGAGTTTCTCTGCCAAAAGTTCTAAACCACTTTTTGGGTGAATACAATAAGATATATATAGTGTTAAGTAAATGGGTCAGCTAATAAAATGGGTGTGGCCTATTAAACAATATTTTTAATTTAGTCTCATTATTTCATTAAGCCCATTTTGATTATGAGTTTAATGTCATTTTGGGTCTAGATTCAGACTGGGCCCTTGTAGACTTGATCCTATTTCATCAAGACGTTGTAGAATTGATTTCGTCGTTATATCGATCTCATAGGGGAGAAATCCGACCCCTACAACTACCAACAAAATCCTTAAATTACAAAACTAATACAAAAAACTTAAATTTGTAAGAGTTTGTAAATACTAATAAGAGTTCAGAAGTACAAATCTATGGTATATTGAAAATTTAAAATGTTATATATAGTGTTTTTTAAATAATAAAATTTTATGAATTTTTTCGTCTGGAGTGTAATCACTGCAATTTTTTTTTCGTTTGTGCTTTATATTTGAAAATAGTATACCATTTAAAATTTTCAATATACCATAAAATTGTATTTTTTACGCCTATTAAAATTTACCTACTCTTACTAATTTTAAAATTTTGTGTTACTTTTGAAATTTAAGGATATTGTTTGTAGTTTGTCATAAAAAAAGCATACAGATTGATTAGGCGAATCTCCTAGCGTCTTTTTTTTAGCAGATCATTCGGATCGGGCCTAAGTTACCCATAATGGTTGAACATAGTATTTGAACCCACAGACGAAAAATCCCTACTTACTTATTATTCGAAAAGTGCCATACCATTTAAAATTTTCAATATAACACATTTTTATTTTTGAACACTGATTTAAATATACCAATTCAAACTCTCATTTGTATTTAAGAGAGAGAACAACACTTCAATMAATGCTTCTTTGAACTTGGACAAAATATGATCTTGTTTGATAGCTTTTGGGCTTAATCCAACTCCATGAGATTCTCTAATGGATCAAGATCGTAGAGCAATTCAGTTTGTAGCTTAACTCATTCTGATCTGGTCGGAATTCGTCATTGAATGCACATGGGTCTGAATAG